ATCATGTAGGAGTACAATCTGTTATTAAGGAGTATCCTGATAGTTTTCTAGTTGAGATTGATCATCCTTTTTGTATATGGGTACAATGAGGCCAAAACTCGATCCAGCGAATAGGGTCTTTGCCAGTACTGAAGATGCGATTGAATATCCCGTGCGAATTTGATGTCAAGTCTAAAAAGCCTGAATAAATTACCAAATGGATGGTTAGAAGGTAGTGGAGTTGTTGGCTTTATTTCTCCCCATAATGGACACCTGCCACGCTAAAAACTCTTGAGAGTTTTTCGTAGATACTTTATATATTTTACCTTGTTAAGATAGGTTTTGAAAAGAGAGGAACAAACACAAAGTAAGTTTGATGAATGGAGGTTCTTTAATCTTGCCCCGCATTTAGCATAGAGTTGTTCTTCTTGTATTGCGAACCGTATTCACCGTGAGTTTCTCATTACTCAGTTTCTTGCAACTGAAGCTTTGGGCAAGATACTCTTGCAGATAGGAGATAGTCCGTTGGCAGTTTTTCTCTATTTGTGCGTCAACGTTCACAAATGTGTTAGCTAGCGTTGCATTTTCAGGCTAAATTTGACCAGCTATTTGTGCGGCAAGTTCTAAAGTCATGATTGACTTCAAACCTGCAGATATAAAACAAAAGAGCTCTGAAGCTTATTTGCTGAAGTTAGAGAAAAATCTGTCTTAGGGTTTCGTATCGTCATTTTTTGTAAAAAGGTGGTTTTCAACATATACCGATATCTCAAACGTTTTTATGCCTACAAGAAAATAAATCACATTTTCTTAAAGTTTAACTATTCTTTATTAAGGAAGCCAGAAATCATAGAAATCGGCTTAATCGTTACTGCCAAAAAATGTGATTAAAAAACATAACCAATATGCATATAAAAAAACTAAGGTTCGGGTCACCTTAACAAGTTCTCGAAGTGTGATGCCGTCGAGTGTCGCAAGAGGCACCAGGAACCATTTCTCTAGTATCATGGCTTGATCTTTGAAATTAAATAAAAAATAAACAAATAACTACTGAAACAAATGTATACGCCTTGAATGTTGAGACCTAAATAATCTTTTAAAGTTCAGCTAACTCTATCTTTTTTAGCTCTCTCCTCTTACCCCTCTTCAAAAGGCTTGAATCTCGGCGGAGAAGCCGAGCCCGCTCTTCCAACTAGTTTTAAAGTTTTGTCTGTATTTTTGTCATCGGAGTCAGTTGAACCGGAAGAAATCTAAGGCAGTGGACATCGCTGTAGCAAACAAAAAAATTATGGATAACGCAAAATTGACATACTGGGGTACCAGCCGGCCGAATACAATACATCAGCGCAGTTTCTCTTGTACATTGCATGGGACATAGGCACAAACCTTACTGCAAAATAATTTCAGAAACTGAAACGATAGAAACTACAGATCTTTCTCCTTTATAGGCTACGAGTTGGAGCCGACATCGATTTTAATCTTACCTACCATCCCATATATTTATTTATTTATTTATTATTTTCTCCCGTCCCCCATTCGCCGTTCGTTTACTCTTTTCACAGAATCATGCATTTTTGGTGGCGACCCTACAACATGGAATGACGGAATGCCCATAACACGGAATGGCGGAAAATAGCCCCAAATGCTAAAAGACGGAATGTCTCCCTTAATTTTGAAAAAAAAAAATGAAAAATGAAAAACAACATAGAATCTAAAAAATAATAATAATGGGATACATAAAACCTAGCTTATGAAATAGATGTGACTTTCCATGAAATCGCTCAAAAATCGCAGGAGGCGGAACACCTAACAATATCAGTGTTGCAGAAAAAGGCAAAAATACAAAGACTGAACTGTTTAAAGTTTGGTATTGACTGAAAATTTTGGAAGTTTGCTGAAAAAATCTAAATGTTTGAAAAATATGAGATAGGAACTTGCTTGAGTAATAATTTTGTTGGTCTGATACCCATGGATAAAACTTGTCTATTTACCCGGAGTAGTCAATCGATAAAAATCGATACCAATCAAGTGGTTTTTATCGATTGATAACGGAAGTCGGTGAAAATCGACAAACTAAATTGCCGTGTCAAATCGATATTATCGATTTTTCATGATTTTAGCGACTTATAATAGAAAGTCCCGCATTGTTATTTTGTTTTTTGGCATCAGTTAAATGTACAGCTGAGAAAACACATCCACCAGTAACAACTGATCAACAAATATGAAAGAAGAAATGTGGAAACTATTTCAGACACAAGATTCTCTCTAAAAACCATGACCCTTTGGTACATAATAACAGAAATGGTTCGGTTTAATTACATTCACAGTTCTCACAGGCAAGTACAACGAGAAAACTTTAGATAAAAGATTTCCCAGCCTGAATTTCAGACATCCTCTAGAGTCGAAAGGATGCCCGAAATTCAGACTTAATGATTCTCTGGATAGCTTTTCACCGTTTTCCGTTAACAATCAATAAAATCACTTGATCGCTAGCGATTTTTGATTTTTACCTATTGGCTTCTCCGGGAAGTAACTACACGTTGAACTGAGGTTATATTGAAAGGCCCGCAGATCTAAATCGTGAAAAACCGGGAAAAATAAAAACCTGGCAAGATGAGGTTTTTTTAAACTCTTTTTTTAAAAAGTGATAACAAATTGTTTGATCCTTCGACTCTCAATAATTGCAACTCAATTGTCAACAAATTCAGTGTTTGCATGAAATCAGTTTTTATTTTTGGAAGAACAGAACTGAACAGATGTATCTTCCGATAAAAATCGATGGAATCAGTAAAATCTAGATAAATCGATAAACGAAGTGAGTGTGTCATCGATTTCTACCGAATGATCGATACAATCGATATCAATCAAATCAGATTTACCGATTTTTATTGATTGACTACTCCGGGTTATTTTTAAAAAGAATTGAAACATATTACCTCCAACATTTAATACTTTCCGTTGATAGAAAGTCACAACACGAGAGACAACAGCACAGGTTGGACACATCTACTTAATTTTCATTTTAATTACTTAATTTTACTTTAAGTTCAAATAAACGTGACTATTTCACCACTTTTATGATTGCTAACTTAAATTAAAATTTGAGACATTTGTCCAGACCCGAGACCAGATGTAAAAGAGGTCAACAGACCCCCTTCAGTTTTGTCTGGAAAAAACGGACCTTCACGACTGTCACGTACGTTGTCGAATACAGGTACACAGGGACTAAACCTGAGATCAGGTGTTATCTATTTATTTTTCTGCTTCTCTGCTTCTTTGGTTCGAGAGGGAAAAAAATAAAACAGATTACAGAGATAAAGGGAGAGGGCATTATCGCAGACTACACAGGGTCCTAAATATTGAACCTTAAAAAGGAAAATGTTGGATTTTTTTTAAAAAACGAAAAACATACGAAAAAAAAGGAAGGAAAAGGCACTCACTAGACATGTTGGGTACTCCTGGAAATTCTTGGTGGGGGGCAAAAATGTCATTTTCCACACCCGTTTTTAGATCAGACCTTTAAAATCCACACCTGTTTTCAGACCTGCCCCGTAGGCAGATATTATGTCATTATTACTTAGATTAGAGTGCAAACAAAAAAATTCTTCAAATCCATTTAGAATTCGCATATTTCTCCGTCTTTCTTTCACTTTTGGAATTGAAACAATAAATACCTTCATACACTCCCGTAGTTCCTCACAAACCATACCAATTCCAGACCAAAATGGGCAAAATCTGTACCCGTTTTGAGACCAAAAAGGCACAAAAACCCTAACCGAAAGGGGGGGGGGGACACATACCTATGTAGTTTACATTTTCCCACCCCCCAGGCTTAATCCCTCAACGGAAAGAGACAGGAACTCATCACTCACATGTTTAACCTGTTACAATGACATTTATTTCTTTTACAGATTTTTTATCGAACTTTATGTACACACTAGTACCTTATATTTCGTCTTTTAGGATTTAGGGCAATATCCCGCCATTCCACCATTCTGTTCTTCCATCGTTCAGTGTTGTTTTGGTGGAAGTGGTACGCAGTGCAACTCAACATTGTTCATGTTGGCCTAGAAAGTTAATGGTAATGCTAAAAAGGGACCAATTTCATTGTCTTTACGGTCAATACCAATGTTGATTGCCGAAGTTGCATGTTGATATGTAACATTTGTATTTTGATGCTGAACTCTTGACTTGAAGGTTACAGTTTCAGTATGGCGGGATATATTGTGTAAGATGGAGACACTTTGCTATTGAACTTACTGGATTTGCTTAGATGGAGCAAGGGTCTCCTAAATTAATGTAACGAAATCCTGTTTAACTTATGACCTTTTAAATTTTGGGTGTTAAAAATATTAGATGCTAAGTCGCTTACCGCTCGTATCGTTTGCAATAGTCATATACAAGTTGATTCACTACTTCCACGTGTAAATAATCCCGTGCAGTTGGCTTGGCTAAACTTCACAATCCCCGGCCACTTATTTGCATCTTGTTCAATAACCAAAAAAATATTGTGTTCACTCATCGCGGTTTGGCTTTATATGGAAAGAGGAATAATAATCCACGCGTGCAATGTGATATGATATGTTTTTCTTGTTTAAGAATCGAAACGACTTGTATGGAAACATCGAAAAAACCGGCAGACTTAACTTAACTGTTAAGAGTACCGTCAAGCACGTTAGCCACACTTCAAACTAACCTTGCAGCAGGGTGAAAAGTAATGTTTATAGTAGTAATGTTTATCGAGAAACGATGAAGTCAGACATTTTATGATCAGCTCTAACTCTCTCTGCGTGAGTGTCATCTTATAAGGTTGTAAGGGCCCTTATTTTATAGATACTGATGAAATACCAAGATTTTTCCTTTTAGTAAAAAATCATATCTTCATTGCGCGCAGTGAAGATACTATTTTTATCTTTCACGTGTGAGGATATTGGTGTCGCCATGGTTACTAACATGATTAACCAATTACAAAAGAGCTTCCCGATCAGGCGCGCGGCCAGTTCTTTTGAAATTTCATTCACAAAATGGCTTCGAGGTGCGAAGACGGTACAGTTACCGGTGGTTTTCTCGATGTACTGCCAAATTTTCACATCGATACTTTTTCTGAGCTTGAAGAACATTCAGGAAGATTTGCCAACGCCTCGGAAAGTGATGTTGAAAAATTCATTGAGGGGAAGAAAAATGCAAACACTAAAAAAAGACCTTCTACAACTTAAAATTAGTCAGAAAGTTTCTGGTAGAGGAGCGCCACGAAATCAGAGAAATAGAGAAGATTCCTCCAACTGAATTAGACAGCTACTTGAGCCAGGTTGTTTTAGCTGCAAGGACCAAGAGTGGAAAAGATCATGAACCTTCATCTCTCCGCGGAATTTTGGCTAGTGTTGAACGCCATTTGAGTCGCCCCAGTTATGGCAAAACTATCTTCAAAGACAGTGATTTCAAAAAACCAAGACACGTGTTGAAAGCGAAACAAAGCAACTCAAGCGACATGGACTCGGAAACAGACCTAAAGCCACAACGGCTCTTACGGACGACGAAATTGAGATTCTTTTTGACGAAAAGTTGCTTGGATTAAGTTCACTGCAAGCTCTGTCAGCTACTGTGTAGCTAAACAACATGATTCACTTTGGCCTTCGCGGATGTAAGGAACAAAAAGAACTCCGCTGGGGAGACATCGTTTTAAAAACTGACAGTGATGGTAAAGAATATCTCGAGTACTTTGAACGCCAAACAAAGACTCGAACGGGAGAGGATCCACGGAATCAACGGCCGATCAAGCCGCGAATGTATGCCAACAACGATGCCATTTCTATCGATCGTGATCCGGTGCGCGTTTACAAGATGTACAAAGAAAAACGACCACCATCCATGCAACAGGAGGGCATTTTGTATGCGCATGCGTCAATATGGGCAGTTGAAGTGCCATAGAGGCATTTTCTGTGAATTGTTTACGTTCAGTACCAGCATTTGCAGGCTGTTTTCTGGAGCTGAATGACGTGTATTGGGTGCTACATTCCTCAGACGTGTTCTTTAAGGTATCGTGGTATTTTTTACGATGAAAGTGAGTTTATTGTAGCCTCGCTGTCGCCCTTGAGAGGACAGTCTTTCCTTTCGTAAAACAGTACATCGAAGACAATGATGGCGGCTGAATGTTCTTACCACCTAACATTTCGCGCACATTTTTTGAGCAGGAGGAAAAGGTCAGTATGATAGTTTTTCGTCGAACAATTATCCTATAGATACTTAATTCTTCTCAATAGTGTAACTCTAAAATCGTACTTAATCGTTTCGAGGAATACAGTGGTTAATTAAATGTCCATTCTGCCGTGAAACTGTTTTTCACCCTTTCTCTGGCTTGTTTATCTCGAAATCTTGCCTTTCTCCCCAGATTAAGTTAATGATTAATGAAACTAAGAATACTTCCGCGAATGAAGGGCGCTTTGATGAAGGCTGTGAAAAATCGCCTTCTGTAATAATTTTAGCTTTCTTCTCCGGTACGTCTTCGTTGAGAAATAAAATACACGCACTTCAACTATAAATTTAAATCAATATAATGATGCCAGTAAGATTGTGTTTTGAAAATAAGAATATTCTATCATTTAGTTATACAAAGGAAAAAAATTACAGCAATCGGTTTGAATTCTGATTTTTTTCCGCCTTATTTTGATGGTACACTGTTTGTTTACATTTCATTATGCAAATAAATATAACATTTTGGCGTTTTAAAGAAAATCTAGCCTAACTCCCCAACCCCAAAATAGCACGAAATGAAACGTTATCAATATACCTTTTAAATAAATCCCGGCTTCTGTTGCAAAAAAATCGCATTTATTCCTAAATGATACCATTTTGTGGATACTACATTTGTTGATATGCTAATTTGTGAGACATTTCATTCACGAAGGATGTTGACTGAGACCAGCTTCTCCTCTGTATTGAGCCACATTCTTGTTTAGTGCATCAGTTTCTGCTTGATAATTCTTCCATGATGTACAACTTACATAAGGGGTTCATCTGGATACACTAAAAAGCTCTCAACAGAAACATTAAGAACAGACAAATTTATCCATCCATTTGTGTCATGTTTGTTGTCGCATCCCAGCTCATTTGGGTCCTTTAGCAGAAGTATTTATTTTTTGAGGAAACAGCATTATATGCACCCCTTTAACAAACTTCCTATCTTATGTTCAAACAGGCTTTGAAGGTGAACAACATCGTCATTTAGATTTATATGGAGTGATGGCCATTCTCTGTTTTGAATGGATCACTACTGTCATCAAATATAGATTAATAACAAGAAATCGATTATGGAGCACAGGAGCTGTTACTCAAGAGTACTTTCAAAATAGTAGCTGAGGAAAAATCTTTGTATCTTTAGAGTTAAAGAAAAATAAAAGTACTGTTCGTTTTTTTCGGAGTATGCGTGCATTCGTTTTGTCTGCAACTGAGCTTAGAAATGCTCAAGTGATTATGTTCTACCTAATCACTTGTAATTGTTTCTGTCTCAAACTCAGTCCATTCTTCATTTCCTATAGAATATTTTTTATAAATTTTTCCGCGAAAACTTTCAAAAAACTGTAAAAACCCCATAGATTTCACGTTTTTGTGGCATATGTAAACGCTTTTCTTCGCGATCAGTTTAACATGAGACATCGCGCTAATAAATAAACCTCGCGTGGTAATTTTTTTTTTCGCTTTTTGCCCTAAAGCAGCTGAACATTGCTACGATGCATTTCCTCCCTGATGTGTAAAACCACAAGTTTGGAAATCAAACCATAGAAATGCATTGCTTTGCCAGTGAAAATCAGACTTATACAGGAACATGACTTTTTGGCGTTGAGTCTTGAAAGTCTTTAAAAGGCCAAGGAAACCTACTGCTGAAAAATCTACAAGTGAAAACCCGCGTAGAAAACGTCTGATTTTTGAGATGGAGAATATTTTTTGAAGGGAAGTCCGGTATTCAAAGCACCAACGAAATGGCTTTTAAAAGGACTGTAACTTTACGCGCGAGTTTTCGATTTCCCGCCATCAGATTTGATGCGCCCACGCTATTGTCATTCAGTGGATTCACGCATGCGCATGCAAAATGCCCTCCTGTTCATCCATGCTAGAACCGGATTCAAGTTTCTATTTGTCGGAAAATTACTTTACAACAGAAACTCATGCATCAGTGGAAGGCAAAAACTGGTCCAAAGCACACCCAATGGGAGTTAACAAGTTATACAATATCATGAAAGACATGACACAAGCGGCGAGAATTCCAGGCAAAACAGCCCACAGTGATACAAAAACTTTAGTGCAAAAACTGCAGGACAGTGGAGTTCCTCCCAACCAGATAATTCAAATAAAGGGGCATAGTCAGTTAACAATTACAGTTCTCTGCGAGAAAAGGAAATGGAAAGTATTTCACGTATTCTTTCCTCGACAAACAAAGCCGCTACCAACGTCGCACAGACCGAAAACAACTTGACAGCTCGAGCCCTGGGTGTGTATCGAATCGCTTCAACGTCTACCACTTCATCTACCTTGGATGTGAATTCCTTCAATGAGAATAGGCTCCAAACGATGTTTCACGGAAATTATATAACTGGAGGAGTCTTTAACATTCAGTTAGCTCCCGCAAAAAATGAAGTAAAGAGTTCAGAAGTTGACCCGAAGAATATTAGGAGCGGCGACTCATCATTGAAAGTGACAGTAGCCAAGAATCCACAACATGATGCTACTTTAAGATACATATACGATTTTGCTGTTATAGAATTTTTCTCTTCTTCATTAGAATTTTGACTTCTTGGAACAGAAAATATAAGTATTACTGTCTTTATTTTTCCAATATAACTTTATATCCGAGTTTCAAAACATTTTTGTGACAGGCATTTTGCGATGGGTGACCACTTTAATTGCACCATTTTGCTGTTTCGAAAATGAATTTAAAAAGTTGTGTTTTATGTAGGAATTTCATCAGTATCTATAAAAGAAACAGAACATTACATGGCGCTTGGGGATACGAATTTTATCTTCTCGTGCTGAAAGTACCTCTCCTTCGTTCGCGATCCTCTATTTACACGAGCGCCTACACTGAAAATCTATTCGTAATTCGTGACTCATTTGAACCATGGGTAATAGAAAGACTGGATAGGAAACTTATATCACGTGGGCTGATTTCTAATCGCCGATTGGTTGGTTCGAGCTCGAAGATGGCGTTGGATGGTTCCATCATAGTGGAAATTTGTGACGAAACGATGGCGAAAATGTGGCGCAAATCAGTCGAAATGTAGGGTTTGTTTGCCTGCATGTTGTTCTTTTTCGGAGTTTTTCGTGCTACTTAAATTTTTGGTATATGTTTTTCCCTTCGTTTGCCGTCTTACGGCGATGGCGACCCTTCAAAGCCACACTTGAACCTTCGAGGTAAGCACTTCTTGTTGTTGTTTTGTGTTATTTGTCCTTGTCAGGGGGGTGATGAACTTGGTAGTTTGTTTGTCCGGACGATCTTGGCCATCGTGACGTCACGAAGAGAGAAGCGCGCCACTTCGAGGAGTTTTCGAAAATGGCGCCGTTGTCATTTCCAAATGCTACTTTTAAAGTTGGTTTTCCTGGATATTGACGCTCCAAAATGTTTTTTGTCACGGTAGGATAGTGCAGTTCCAACATCTCTTTCCGAAAAGGTGAGTGAATTGTGTATTAATCCCAAAAATAACGCGTATGAGAGCTGTAAACAGTTTCGGTCAATTTCCTCGAGTGGAATAATGTGCCGCAAAAGTTTGCATGTTCGCACAGTAATATCGCATTTTCTCGAAATGAGTGAGGTGTTGAACATGGAAACTTGGCATAAGGGTGGGTTACTTCTATTGGAAAATATTGTCTCTGAAGTTAATTGAGATAAACTTGCAGAAAAAATGATCAGTCCATTCGAGTGTGCCAGCGTAGCCTCTAAGCTGATGCAATGGTACTCATTACTTTGCTGTTACCTCCAATAATGCCAAAAGTATTACCTATTCAAGCTGTCTTTTCGGGATAAGTAAATATTAAAGTAGTTTCTGATGGAGGGAAAGTATAGTTGCAACAGCTCTTTCCGAGAAGGAGAGTTGATTCTATTTTCTGATGATAATTACCTCGTAAACAGTCTAAACAGTTTAAGCCAATTTTTTCAAGTGGAATATTTGTCGCAGAAATTTACATGATCGCATATTAACATCGCATGTCTTAGAAAATCGGTTTGGTGTGGAAATTCGAAACTTGGCAAAAGGGTAGATCAGTAATAGTGGAAAACATTGTCCTTGATGTTTAATGGGAGAAATTAGTAGTAAAAATGATCAGTCCATTCGAGTGCGCTTAATATTGATATAAACAGATGACCTCGACTCGGTTACCCCGGCACAATGTAAGTCAATTATTTTTCGGTTTTAAGAAAAAGTAAACCAAAGACTTCCCTCAACACTATGTATCTATAATAATTACACCAGGAATATATATATTTTTAACACTTGAAGGTTGTAACATATTGTTGAAGCAAAGGATATTTCTCTGTAATACCTATAAGCTTACATTAAGTTTTCATAAATAGCAAAAAAAATTAATAAGATTTACATACAGCTCCAAACATGTACATCTGTTATGCATGAAGCAATTTCATATCGTTCCATATCAATAGTTAGTGCGAATGGAGTCAAACATGTACAGTGAAACTTGTATAATGTAAGCGGACACCGCAGAGAATGCTGTAGTGCCCACTTAATACAAAGTTTCTTCCTACTACATACAGGTTTCGATAGAAAATGTCATATGAGGCAGACCTGCCAACTCTCACAATTCTGCCGTGAGTCTCACGATTTTTTAACTTTTCTCACGGTCTCACGACAAGACTCCCAATCTCA